AGAGGACTAAAGTTCACATTAACCTTATTTTACGCCGTTTTGGATGTTTTGAATACGATATTTGTATAAGTGAGTGAGTGAGTGAGTGAGGTTTTACACCGCTTTTAGCAATAATCCAGCAATATCACGACGGGGGACACCACAAATGGGCTTCACACAATGTATCCTTGTCGGGAATCGAGCCCGGGTCTTCGCTTTAACCACTATGCTACCCGACCGCCCCTTATTTGTATTAAAGGAGATGAACAGTATAGATATGGGATTACATCATTTATAAAGTATATTAAAACAAGTATCTGGAAAAAAAGTCTTATGTCAATACATGTAGTAATTGCTGTCATAGAAGTAAGAGTGCGACATACTTTTTAGTTTATAAATACACATTCACATAAACATATTATTAACATGACACCATTTTCGGTAGATTACTAGCGTTCGCCATGACATGACCACACAGTGACACCGATAAAAACGTTGACTTTTCGATCATTGACCTTATACATATACGTCATATCAATAGGGGCGGTCGGGTAGCCTAGTGGTTAAAGCGTTCGCTCGTCACGCCTAAGACCCTGGTTCGATTCCCGACATGGGTACAATGTGTGAAGCCCATTTCTTGTGTCCCCCGCCGTGATATTGCCGGAATATTGCTAAAAGCGGCGTAAAACCATACTCACTCACTCACTCACTCATATCAATATGAGCCAGTGGTTAGTCAAAATAGTATTGGCATCAGCAAGGAAAGCCAGGTAGATCTATCGCGTGAAGACAATCAATCAGATGTCAACACAGAAAGTCTATCGCACAGAATCTGGTATTGAACGATATCCTCAAATTACTAAAAAAAAGGGATGTTCATCAAGTAACACAAATCGTGAGATACTTAGTCTTTTGTAAAATGTTCCAGGTGTAGATTGACGCTTACATGTTCCATTGTCAAAAGATCATTCTGTTGTCTTTATACCAGACAATTATCATAGGACAAAAGCTAAATTTGTTTCCTGCACAAATGAATGTTATGTATTAATTGTGTTGTCTAATGATGGTTGGTTCAGTTAATGCTGTCGTTTAAATAGTTGTAATAAGATGTACTTCATGTGTCAAGAGAGAGATATTAGTGACTGGCATTTGGCTTACAACATGCAGGGGGCACAGGTGGCCCAGTCGTCTAAGGCGCCGCGATTCGCTGTGGAGAGTTGCGTCCTTGGGCACGCAAGAAACCTATGATTGTGGGTTCGAATCCCGGTTCGCCCCAATTATGTTTCTAGGTTTGTCAGCACCATACCCGTGCTCGTGGGTTTCACTGAAATGGTAAACGTCTGAGACCTGCATCTCTGAGACTCTTGAAGATCCGGGTTAGAATAGGTCTTCTGCAACCCATGTTTGCCGTAAGAGGCGACTATGCTTGTTGTAAGATGAGACTAACAGGATCAGGTAGTCAAGCTCGTTGACTTGGTTGATGCATGTCATCGTATCCCAATTGCGTAGATCGCATCTTCCCGAGGCAAGGGTGGAACTGACTACAAAAGTCCAATTTCCACCCTTGCCGAACTACTTTGAAATTTCGTGGCTCGATTGTAGCGCCACCAGTGGCTATTACGAGTTATGTCCCTTCTATGCCTCTCCTATTGACCAATCAGATTCCACCTTTCGCATCACTTGCATTTACTTCAAACAAAATGGCGGCGCCCAGTCAAGACGATCTGCTTGACAATCAAGATCTATATTGTAATAAAACGGGCCTTACCTCGCGAAGTGCATCAAATAATTTGAGCACCTTGATTAAAAGCATGAAAAGATTTGGAAATATCTGTCGACGCCCAGTTGACGGTGCATATGCATTACGGAGGCACGGATGGCCAAGTCGTCTAAGGCGCCGCGATTCGCTGTGAAGTTGTGTCCCTTGGGCACGCCAGAAACCTATGATTGTGGGTTCGAATCCCGTTCGCCCCGATTATGTTTCTAGGTTTGTCAGCACCATACCCGTGCTCGTGGGTTTCACCGAAGTGGTCCGACACCTGCATCACTTCGCTTTCCTCCCACATTAAGCTGACACGTCGTGATATAACTGGAACAATGTTATAAGCGGCGTTAAACCCAACTCACTCACTCACATATTCTTTGCAAATCCTGCAGTCGATCGAAATGTGCACGTTGAAATCCATGTTGTTTACGAACTGGATGTCTAGTTCGTTGCGCGATGGGACTACTCGTTAGTCCAACTAAAGGGTGGCAAGGGTGGAAACTGGACTTTTTCAGTCATTTAACTCCCTTGCCTTGGGAAGATGCGTAGATCGAATATTAGAGTGCGGCGTTAAAAAAACAAAACAAACTTATATTCTGTGATTCAGACTCGATTATTTACAAAGAAACAAAATAGTCTTGTCCAAAAACATCCATCATTATAGCATGAACTACGATATATTAGAGAGAGACACAAACGAAGAATGAAATAAACACAGGGAATTTATTGGACAACAAATAAATTGAATACAACTGACAATATCACACTCATAAACATCTGCGACATAATATTTTTTGTAAACAGCACACCACAATCACATTGGTCTAACCTAAAACAGCTTTTTGTCATGCAATAACTTATCCAAGATATAGACACAGAAAATGACTATTATTAAAATGATCATGGGAGGTGGATCCAGAACAAGATGCGGGATTTAGGGGATTAACCGCTACCGGTAATTTTTATTTTTTCCAATCATTTCCTAAGGCATCTTCATTTATATCAATTATCCCGTTTTTATTTTTAAAAAGTTGTATATTATGTACGTGGCGGTGAGTATAAACCTATTTATATTCAGTATAAAATGAGAACTCAATTAATTCCAGAGCTTACAGATACTGTACATACAGAAGACTCTCAACTTTTTTAAAGTCCAGTTTACCAAAGACATCCTAAAAATGTAGATTTTTCTGAAAAATTCACCCAGCATGTTTTGTGAATAAAATAAGAGAAGCCTTTCCTGTAGAATGAGACACATACATAGGTTTCAAGTATGCAAGACCATGAACTGAATATGTGAATTAATGTAGACTAAAAAACGGTGCTAATGATTTTGCCCCAGCATGTAATCTGATCAATTGGCATGGCGCTTTGTAATGGTTGCACGATGGCAGTCAGCCATGCATTATGTTTGACAATGAATGCACAGTTTATTTTAGTAACCAAGGTTCCTTTAGTTTACCTGGGTCTCTCTCAATGACAAATGCTATAAAGTGCACGGAAATGAACCACTTAAACACTCAGACATCATGCGTTGCTAGCGAAGGAGCAGGGGGTGGAAACATTCAACACAAAGCTTTGGCTACAGATCGACCAAACCTCCGCTCCAGACACAATAACAGTAGTTCAAGATGGGGTGTGGCCAGGGCCCTGGGAACAGTTATGGTAGATTTATTGATATGTGTTTCTGGCATGTGAGCGGGTTATTGACAGAACTGTGTGATTTTGATTTTATAAACTTCTTACAAATGTATGACGTCAAAGAACTAAGTGAAACATGGACAAAAGGCTATGATCTGTTTGTTTGTTTGTTTGTTGTTTTACGCCGCACTCAGCAATATTATAGCTATATGACGGCGGTCTGTAAATAATCAAGTCTGGACCAGACAATCCAGTGATTGACATCATGAGCATCGATCCACGCAATTGGGATACGATGACATGCATGAACCGGGTCAGCGAGCCTGACCACCCGATCCCGTTAGTCGCCTCTTACGACAAGTATAGTCGCCTCTTACGGCAGGCATGGGTTGCCAAAAACCTATTCTACCCCGGGTCAAAAGACTATGACCTAACAACTGTGTTTCCTGATGCACGTAGAACTGCATCCAGAGAAAGATTATCGGGTGGAAAATTCTTGTCAGTTAAGAAAATAGTGTCTATGTTTGTATCATTCTCTTAAACACGTTAAAACTGTATAGTTATCGTATTTAAGAAATCACTACTACTGCTAGAGATATACTAGCAGCCTGTATATACATCAACCCAAAAACATCGCCCTGGTTTCATAATAGGTTTAGCCATTGTGGTATCTCAATATTCCAAGATCAACTACGCCGTGATATAACTGGAATACTGTTAAAAGCGGCGTTCAACCCAACTCACTCACTCACTCCAAGATCAACTTGTGAATGTATTACACAAGTAATACATTCAATTCTCCTTGAGGCAACTTTAACGAACATGGAATTGAGTTAGATTTTGTTACAAAACATTAGTGACTTTCTATGTGACAGTTCAAATCAAACATACAACGTTTCTCACTTGATAAAATTACCCACTTCAGTATCTACATCTGATTTCTACTCTAGTGAATAAACACTGTGAATATACTTGTCAACCATACCCTTTACATCACTTGCTTGATAACGGTGTTAGAACCTACACGGAAACGTCGCTCCTAATTGTAATAAAGAAGTTGTTTGTACATTAATCTTATCCTTACTTAGCATACTTAATGTCCAAAATATATTGCTACATAGCCCAGAAGAACGAGGTGTTGCGTGGTTTGGATTTCAATAGCACGTGGTTGAAATGTACAGGCAATAGGCAGGTGTGGTGACTCCCCCCGAGATCCGATTTAAAAGTCGGAAAAAGATTTAAACAAATCACTTAAAGTGATTACATAATCAACAACACTGGTTCCTGTTAGTACACCAACTTCTAAATGCCCATCAAAGAAGTTATTAAGTATGCTAATAAATTAAGAGACAAAATCCTGTCGTCAGAAATAAAAACAATGCTTGATTGCACAAACGGAAATCGATACATCCATTGACTTATTTACCGATGCCATCCTCCAAACTGCCGATTTCAAGAACAAAAGGACACAAATCTAAAACTTATATGTAACCAGCCCTGGTTTCGTGATGATTGGGCCAATGTTAAAGCAAACACTGAGAGATTACTTAAAGATTACAATGCTATATTATCCAACGTAACAAATATAACGAATCACTTTGAATATAGAATAACATACATGTGAAAGACTAAAATGCTAGCAAATATTAATAATTCTAAGGACTTGGAATACATTTGAGAAAAATACTAAAAGTAATACACAAAGTAAACCGGTGCTCTTGCGCGAATGGTTCTCTTTTTTAGGAATGTGTTCCAAGAATGTGATATAAATATGAATGAAGAATCTACAGATTCTCATATTGATTTTGACTTTGATGATATGAGTACGATACTTGACTCGTCCATCACAAAACAAGACATTTGTGAAGCCATTGCCAGACAGATGACATGTGAAGCTGCGGGTGAGGAATTCTTTAAAACATCTATGGATATATTGGTACGGTATATTCAGCTGCTATTAAATGTTTTTTAAATAAGGTATTATTATTCCAGTACATAAAAAGGTGCTAATTTAAATCATAATAATCACAGAAGAATTTCGTTGTTAGTTTCATTTTGTAAATTATCTACATCTATTTTGAATTCAAAATTATCTTTCTGGGCTATTTCTTATGATAAAATCATCAAGTCCAAAGCAGGCTTCAGGAAGGAATATTTTATTCTTCAGTCTGTGATGCAGCATTTCTTCTAAAACGCGTAAAAAATATATACTATGTTTGTGGATTTTAAAAAGGCATTCGATTTTGTTGACAGAACAAAGCTATGATTCATATTAAAATGTAGGTGGACAGGGGGTTCCCAAAGATGTTACATGAACTCGAATCCCTGTATGAATGTGTGAAAGTTTGTGTTCGTGTAAACAATAATTTATCAGAAACCTTGGATTGTTGATTAGGCCTTAGACAAGGCTGTGTTATGGGCCAATTGTTATTTTCGGTGTTTATTTATGAATTGCCATTACAGATAGAACCTTCCTGTTCACCAGCTACACAGTTACATCATGATATCATCATGATATCATACAACTTATTATTATTTGCTGATGATTCATTGTCCCCATCGCTGACATAGTATTTGGGTTGTCAAAACGTAGAACAAAGAAATAGCAGTAAAAAGGGCAGCGACTTGAATGTGTTCCCACTTTGGACTATTATTTTCTAGGTCATTATCATAGTATGTTCACGTTAAAAAAATTAAAAGCACAGCGGTAGACACTCCTATGTTGTGTGTTTAAATCTTTATATATATTTTTTTTTAAATCCAATGAATTGTTCCTTTACAATATTTTATTACAAAATACGTCCTATTTTATTATACGGTTCTGAAGTGTTGGGTGTTGATATTTGGGATGAAATAGAAATAAAATGTTTGCTTGTAAGAGGTTCTTGTTTGTAAAGCAATCACCATCAAATAATGTGGTCAGGGGTGAACGTGGAAGGTACTCTATGTATGTAAATTTATATATGTTTTCAAACGTCTGATCAAATATTGTTATAAGATGACCATTATGCCAGAATCTAGATTGGTAAAGAAATGTGGCCTTCACTGCGTAATGAATAGAGACTGCTTGCTAGCGCAAGGAACACAAAACGGCATTACCAGTCGGTTTCCACTTTTTTCCCACGCTAACATCGCTGTATCAAAACATTCCTCATCGCGAAATCGGCCTTTAATTTGAAGAAAGGACACTATTGTTTCATGAACAAGTACATCCCCACACAACACAATACCCCTTTTAACGTCCTCAATACACCGAGAAAACCAGAAATGTCACTTCATTGCCATACAGATTAATGCACTGTAAACAAAAAGAAATGACTACGCACTGTCACGTCACAGCCACAGCTCGGTCTGTAGCTAGGATTTCGATATGCATACGCGCTGGCGGTGGGATCAGGGCAGTTGTTTGTTGCTATTTAGATAAAAATGAAATCACATATGACTTTCTTTCGGGTGTAAATATGTACTTTGTATTATAATTTAACACAATTCAAAACGTTTTGTTTAATAGCTTTCCTTAACGATGTTACGTTTATCCATTTCTGCAAAGGTGTATCTACCTTTGAGACTTGCACTTTCAATAGATTTGAACTTCTTAGCCATATCCCCTTGTTTTTTGTTTTTTTGAAATTCCGATTCACGGGCACAAAGAAACAAATCAGCAAGAAGAGGGGCACAATTTGTGTCCACGGAGATGCCTATTTCTTACCTTGATGTCTTAATAATGTTTTTAGATTGTAAAATCGAAAATCGTTAAGTCTCTGTTACAAAAAGTGTGATATCACCCTGAGTGTTGTTGTTTCGCCAGTATTGCCATAACATCGCCGGATTCAAAGTCTGAAAATCAATAATTAATTCATTTAATATCTATTTATATAGATCAAACGCTCTTGCAAGGTGGTTGCACAAACGCGCTTCCATCATAGATAATTCTGTCGTTACTTATAAATTCATTTCGGTTGTTTAAATAATTGTCAATTTAGGTTGAAATAATTTCTTTTTTTTTCATACTTACCTGCACATAATGACTCAGACGTTCCGGCACTGTACAAAATATGTGGTACAGAAGTATATTGTTCCCAAGGGCAAGGATTGTTGTCTGGTTTATCTATGACAGCAAGCCACCCCTTGTCCGCCGGACAGCCCCCATAGTAGTGGTTTATCTGAAACCGTCGGTTAGTCGTGCCGTCCCTTAAAACAAAGAAGAGAAGAATATACGATACAATGTGATTACCAACACAACTGGCAACATCATACAATTACTACTCAAACAGACGTACCCGTGAAAATCCGGGTTAGAACAGGTCTTCAGCAACCCATGCTTGCCGTAAAAGGCGACTATGCTTGTCGTAAGAGGCAACTAACGAGATCGGGTGGTCAGGCTCGCTGACTTGGTTGATGCATGTCATCGTATCGCAATTGAGTAGATCGATGCTCATGATGTCAATCACTGGATTGTCTGGTCAAGAATCGATTATTTACAGACCGCCGTTATATAGCTGGAATATTGCCGAGTGCGGCGATAAACAACAAACATATAAACCTAAGCAGACACCATTACATGTAAAACAGTCAACTTTTTATGTAAAACAAATGGGTACAACATTTGAGAAAAAAGGTTAATATTTAATACTGAAATATGTCAATGCTTCAAACCTTACACATCCCTCGTGGGTCTAACAATTTGCTCGATGCTATCGCGTTGGCCCTCCATTAGAAGCATCTCTAGTCCAATACATCAGTGAAATAATCAATGCACCACAACACGACAAGGGCGCTTATTACATCACATTGTCTCAACGAATATAGTAACACTTTCTCATTTTATATCTTTTACTTGCCCATGAAGAGATCACCCAATTAATAAACATACAGCTGTATTACACATTGTGTAATACCAAAATGCGTGCTTATGTACTCTCGGAACACGGTTCACGAACAAATATTGAAAGCTCTCAACATCCCTTGGCTTATTCAACGACATTGCGTGTGGAGATGATAGATCACTGAGAGGAGCTTATGCACACACGATGACCCCAGCAACCTTGTTACTAGGTTGACGTCACATGGCATTGTTTCGCCGATGGATCTTGCAACAAAAATCCACAAATTACGTCGTCGGGTATTGTGCCGTGATTGTAAACATTGAGGTGCAAGGCCCCGTTCCACAGGGCGATTTATTGTAGCGCAACGACAGTCGTTAGTCGAAGTTAAAGTATGTGAGTTGCGATAACATTAGCGCTACGATAATTTTGTGGAACGGACGCCTGAATTTTAAAGGTGGACCGTTGTATGGTATTAAAAGCATACGTTTCAACCTTTGACGTGTCTGAAGTATTATTCTGTTAAACTCAATTGGATTATGCCTCTGGGGCACCAGAAAGACCTTTACACATTGTATCCATGTGGGAATCAAACCCGGGTCTTCGGTGTGACGAGCTAACGCTTTAACCACTAGTCTACCCCACCGCCCCCTAGTTACATTAAAGGCAAGGTATTGTATGGATGGCATCGTCTTTATTCTTTTATGATGTGATGAACTCATTTTGGTATATATCCTTATACCGTTATCAAGCAACAGTCAAAGGTATAGGGATTTCTACCGAAACGTCGCTTCATACTGGAATAAAGAAGTCAATATACATAAAAATAGCTTGCCTTTATCGTTACTGATCAACTTCTAAAACTCCAGTCAACCAGATAGGGTAAGTTACTTACATACTGGCATAATGTATCTGCAATATTGCGGCACAAGCCAGATCACTTTTCGTTTACACATGAAGACACCAATGTTCTTGGGATAAAAGTTCTATTTCTAGGTTGATTTAACATCACGTGTATTTGCTAAAGGAAGATTGGCTGACTTCAGAGTTCAATATTCCTCTTAATAATTCCTCTGATTGACGCCTTACCACGATAACCTGATACCACAGTAAGATGTACGCTTACCTTCATGCCCCCTACGACGATTTGTTAACTTGTTTAGATTTTCTCTTTCCTTTTAAGGTAAATGTCACTTCATCTGTCTTGCATAAATTAATTTACTATAACAGTAATACTCCTCTAACAAAGGATTTCATAATAAATGTACATAAATTATCTAAGGTGTTTTTTTTTTCAATTGTAAATCCAGATTTTTATTTACTTAAGCGTTTATAATTCAAGCTTAACATATCGTTTATAGTTTCAACAAAATCAGTAAATGCGCTATCGTGCCACTGGATTGTCTGGTCAAGACTCGGTTGTTTACAGGCCGCTGCCACATGGCAGGAGTACTGCTGTGCCGCGTCAGACAACAAAGGAACACTCACTTTTTATGCAAATTGTTGTTGAGTTTCTTGTGCTACCGGTAGGACATGACATGCTTACCCTTTTCAGGAACACCTGGTGTCATCACTGATTTTCAGTGATCCATTTATTTTGTTTTCACCGCTATTTTGCCTTTCGCGCTCAGGGGAATCGGGTTTCGGCAGATAATCGTGACTTGTTCTTGTCTGTCTGTCTTGTCTTTTATATTTATAGGGGATAGTAGGAATAATCAAGACATATCTTCTGATCTATATGGTATTGGCAAATGGAAATGATATGATCATGTCTAGTGGGAAATAGGCGATCAGATGTATTGCGTTCCAATGGTTGGTGTGATGAGATGGTGACGTACTAGGTCGTTAAAGAGGTAGGGGGTTAATTTCGACATTTGTACTTTGCAGCCAACGTCACATATGCCGGGTCAAACCAACTGTTGATCAGACATGCACGAATGCTTCTGATGAGTCGGGGGCGGTCGGGTAGCCTAGTGGTTAAAGCGTTCGCTCGTCACGCCGAAGACCCGGGTTCGATTCCCGACATGGGTACAATGTGTGAAGCCAATTTCTGGAGTCCCCCGCCGTGATATTGCTGGAATATTGCTTAAAGCGGCGTAAAACCAAACTCACTCACTCACTCTGATGAGTCGACAGATGTAAGCTTGAATCATCTTGTTCCACTCATCAGTGAGAGAAATACTGAGGTCATTGAGAGTGGTTGGTGGATTATGATGTTGACGTACAATGACGTGCAAGACGTGTTCAGTTAGGGAAAGGTCCGGACTGAGTGCTGGCCATGGAATGACATGGATGTTTAGTGAGTGAGTGAGTTTGGTTTTAAGCCGCTTTTAGCAACATTCCAGCAATATCACGGCGGGGGACACTTGAAATGGGCTTCACACATTGTACCCATGTCGGGATTCGAACCCGGGTCTTCGGCTTGACGAGCGAATGCTTTAACCACTAGGCTACCCGACCACCCCCCATGGATGTTTAGCTGTAGGGGGAATTGAGTCATAATCCTGGAACGACGAGCATGTGCATCATCATCTTGAAAAATGAAACGTTGCCGAACACGTTGTGCAAAGGGCACCACGAGTGGAGCAATGATGTTCTCAGTATTGACCTGTGACTCAACTATTCGTGCATAGTATATTCAAGATGCTACCCCAAACTCTGTGTACAAATGTCTCATTGTACCAAATTGAGACAAAGATATTACCAGACGAGATAGATTCTGCGATATATTTGATTCGTACCATGTTTTTGTTTGTTGTTTAACGGTGCACTCAGCAATATTCCTGCTACATGACGGCGGGCTGTAAAAAATCGACTCTGGACCAGAGAATCCAATGATTGTTATCATGAGCCACGATCTATGCAATTGGGATAAGACGACTGGCATCAACCAAGTCAGAGAGTCCGACCACCCGATCAAGATTATGCTCAAGCGTTGACGTTTTATATTCTGTGACGTCATAGATCAAATATCCTATTAAGGTACATTGTAAGTTTGGAGAATACATTTTAAGTTTGGTAATTACATGTATTTTAGGACATATGTACATGTTTGTTTCATATTTCTTATTTTATTATATATACAATCACAGTATATATACTACTGTATAAAATATTTATTCTAGAATGTATGTAAACACCACTACTTTACTCAACGCTTTTTTCGAGAAACCTCAAACTGATGACGACAGTGTTCAGATCTTCTTGTTACCAAACAACAAAGCAGGTTATTGTTGGCCATTTAAATTTAACCATGCGATACTGCCGGTCGTTACTCGGATACCACCGATTGAATTTCATCATAAAAATTCTACGTGATACCATACACTGAAAAAAAGAAAATCTGAATGTAATCTGAATGTAAGTTCATTAGAGTATAAACCTTTATGTAGTGAGGGCCTGTTGAAAATATTATTCATTATTTCTAAATAGAACAAAGTGAACTGGAAATGAGTTTAATGAATGATCCTACCCTGTGATACTGAACCGATTTTGAGGCAAAGACATCAAGTCTGTCCAGGTAGAATTGATGACGTGGCTTGATGAAAACCAACTGGTTTTCGTGGTCCCAACTCCATCAAAAAGAACCTCTGCTTTGACAGTGTTCCCTTTTAAAATGATAACTTTGACCTGAAAATATAAGCTGGATTGGATGACGATGACCTCTTGGGGACACATACGATGAATGTGACAAATATAATCACAACTATTTGTAAAAAACACTTTATTCCTTATTCATTCATCATAAATGATATCATATGTTACCTCTTCCTTTTGCTGTGGGGGGCACGGGTGGCCCAGTTATCTAAGGCGCCGCGATTCGCTGTGCAGAGTTGCGTCCCTTGATTGTGGGTTCGAATCCCGGTTCGCCCCGATTATGTTTCTAGTTTTGTCAGCACCATGCCCGTGCTCGTGGGTTTCACCGAAGTGGTAAACGTCTGAGACCTGCATCACTTCGGGCTTTCCTCCCACATTAAGCTGACACGCCGTGATAAAACTGGAATACTGTTAAAAGTGGCGTTAAACCAAACTCACTCACTCACTCACTCACTTTTGCTGTGCTCTGCTCCATATCATTATGGAAAGACAAGCACTATTTATTAATATCTCATCTATTTGCCAGTCATTTTTTCTATGAGGAGACTTTCGGTTCCTACGCAGATGTGTCTTATGAATATTATGCAATACCTGTTCAATATTTGCGGTTTCCCATGTAGTTACCAGTTTACTTTTAAAGTGCATGTCACACGGAAGTGACGTATCAAGGGTCATACATCCGGGCTGCAAATTCCCAGGGACGGCCGGATGATCATGGTATATGAGGTCATCCATCCACACATCGTAGGGCGAAACGTTGACGTCGGCTGTGACTCGAAGCAGTAAAATCCAGCCACCAATTGATTGAGTGTCTAAAACCAAATACATGTTTTATTAAACCTGCAACTGTATGTCGGTGTATGGCAATTTGAATATTTCATGACAAAGAGAAACAATATTTACTTCGAACTGTGGCAATCTCATTAAAATCAGACCTTAGTTCTCGCTACCGCTAAACAAAGATCTGAGGACATCCCAGTAGGGGTCACGTCAGAACGACCTTTCATCCGACCAATCAAAGCATCGCTTACCAGATCATGAAAGTGACAGTCGGAACGTGCTTTCTAATCATGCATCCTCGAAAACTTTAACACGGGTATTCCGAACGATAGTTACGGGTTTAACGACTGAAACCATACAATCTAGACCATCTATTACCCATTCCAGAATTTTTTTTGTTCAGGTTTTAAATCGAGAATTTGTCAAAATATGTTTCGAAGCGTAGTCGCCAATTTGAAATTAGTGCCGTAGAGCACGAGAAAGCTGCCTTCTGATTGGTCATTCCATTTGGCGGTCAAAGTTCGAGCAAGGTCGGCCTGACGCGACCCGTAATGTGATGTCCTCAGATCTTTGTTTAGCGGTAGCGAGGACTAAGATCTGATTTTAATGAGATTGAATCTGTGGAAAATTAACAATTGCCGCATACTTGTGAAGATACAAATTTCCTTAATTTCACTGCATTCGTCAGTGCCTTTAGGTAGTCTCGCAATTGTAACATGCAGGGATGTTATTGAAATGTTATTTGTATGATTCTAAATGAATGTGCACGTGTTTGGGTCGAATACTTCAAAGGAGAAAACAAGTAATCAATAAAAAATACCTAAAAACCTTGGCACAGTTCCATAAAATCAATACCACGATAACCACACGTCAATGTAAAACGACAAGGATACAGGGTGGCCCTAACGAATAACGATCATGAGATATAACACTGTATGAAACGCTTAAGTGTTAAGTAAATAAATGTAAACCTTGAGGTCAGCATCAATACAAGCAGACCGTATCTGCAAAGATCATCCGAACTAGAAACTAAGGGGACCGCCTCATCTGTTTCATATTTAGATCTATGCATAAAGATTCAGAGTGACAAAGCACTCTCCACGAGAATGTATGATAAGAGGGGTGACATGATTTTTCTTTCCAATGGTCAACTTAAGCTCAAGTAGCTTATCAAGCTTTTGGTGTCCGCATTTCACAACATTTGAGGTACAATCGAGCATGCTCACATTCAAGGCCTTTAGTAAAGCTTTCAAAAAGTGTTATGGTTGACATTTAAAGACAAATCTCCAACTTTGACGCACCAGTGACGGAAAAATGTCCGATGCAATTGCCTAGGTTGACTTGTACCATATATGTTCCCGTGTTCTTTGAAGTGAACAATTGACCTGCCTTTGCATGTGTTTGTGACGGGTGCCACCGGTGATGCAGGATACGCTCACCTTTTTGCGAACACATGGTATCATCCATATGTGATAGTGACTGTTTATGATACGGAAGAGATTTCTTGTGGCAATGGAAATGGCTTTGTCGCTTGTTTTACATCATTGGTGTGTTTCGTGGTTTTACACAGCAGTCAACAAATTTTCCAGAAATATCAGAGTCAGGGCCAGATAAACCAGTGATTAATATTATGAGCATCTTACGCCGTCGGGGTACACGACGACGTGCAATCAACCTTTTCACCGATCCTGTCAGCATATCAAAACAACGGTTGCCACATTTCTCAAATGGGATTAGCATTTTGTATCTTTTCCTTTTAAAAAACCCAAACAATGTCTATTTTTCCCCAAAACGGTTACTCACTTTTCTTACACACAGGTACCCCGATCCACTGTCCACGTTCATCACAAACACCCGTGTTATCACCATCATATTGATCCGTATCATTGACACATGTGACTGTGACCTGGGATCCAAATACCGTGCTATTGTAGGAAAGGAGCCTGTTTTCGGCGTTAGGGACAAGTCCGCAATCAACCACTGAATGGAGAAATGAATAATATATACATTGATGTCGCTAACAGAGAAACCAGTTACCTATTCCGATCTGGAATGATGTAAATGATTCAACATTAGTTCAACAAGTGTTTATAGTAACACCATATATATTTTCAGATTAAGAACACTATGGAGCCAGTTGGTCGCCACTGAATGAGTGAGTATGGTTTTAAGACGCCTTTTAGCAATATCACGACTAGGAACACCGGAAATCGGCTTCACACATTGTGGTAATGTGGGGTATCGAACCTACGACGTTTTACCCACAAGGCCACCCAAAATCCCTGTTTCGCAACTGATATGTACAGATATGTTTCTATTTCAGTTACCTGAGCAACAACAGCTGATTAAGAAGAATCCTGCTTGAATATAATTTTAATGGTTCATGGAACAACCTTTGGTTCTGAATTCTTAGTTTAATATTACCACATATACACATATATCTCGTGTATGGAAAGAAACACCCCCAAATAAGAACCACTATGCCTGCTCTGGGAGAACAGATGTTCACATTCAACACAAGAAAGATCAGGAAAAAACATAGTTCACCTTTACAAATTCCTGTAACATTTTCCCAGTCGCCGCCTGCTGTGCAAGATACGCTGTTGTTGCTACCAGAGAAGTTGAAGCCAGAGTTGCATATCGCATGGCCGAGAGATCCGTAGGTTGTGGTGTTGTAGTTAATACTGCCACCAGGAATAGACCCCGGAACTCCACACTCGACCACTGAAAAGAAATTTCCACTTGAATGTCGAGCGTTATTTGGAGGGGGAGGGGGGCGTTTGTGGCCCCTTCACATTAATCAGGTTCTTTTCTCATGCAATAATAACAAGTATTTGAGATGAACCACACTGTAAGGAGCAATTATGTCATTATATAAGCTAGCTACGCGATAAATCGCGTTCTAAATATGATACCGATGATACCGTTTCAATGGTCTCTTTCATTTCTAGATCAGGTGGGTTATCAGTGGAATGGAATTGGCTATTTGACCTTTATTGAACAATATAAAATCATCGATATACCTGATACTAAAATCAACTGTACGATGCCATTAATTCAAACAGTGTAGCCGTCCCATGAATGTTTCTTGCGGCTATATAAATGTAGGTACGAGCCATGTTGAAATTGATTATGCTTCAGTCTCACAATAATACACATAGTTTGTCAGTTTTGCTATTGCCTGTCTGCTTAATGGTTCTGAATTATTAGTTTAATATTACCACATATACACATATATCTCGTGTATTGAAAGAAACACCTCCAAATAAGAACCATTATGCCTGCTCTGGGAGAACAGATGTTCACATTCAACACAAGAAAGATCAGGAAAAAACATAGTTTACCTTTACAAATTCCTGTAACATTTTCCCAGTCGCCGCCTGCTGTGCAAGATACGCTGTTGTTGCTGCCAGAGAAGTTGAAGCCAGAGTTGCATATTGCATGGCCGAGAGATCCGTAGGTTGTGGTGCTGTAGTTAATACTGCCACCAGGAATAGACCCTGGAACTCCACAGTCGACAACTGAAAAGAAATTTCCACTTGAATTTCGAGTGTTATTTAGAGGGGGCGCAGTATTTCAGTCTTGCCATGGCCTGTCTGCTTAATGTGGGATGTGTATTGTGCCAAGGAGACCTACGACCACCGGAATGGCGGTACCAAACTGGAAGCATAAATAATCATGTAGAATCTGGGATTCATAACCACGACCTTCGAATTGTGGCTCATCACACGGACATCTCAAGAAAGATCAGGAAAAAACATAGATCACCTTTACAAATTCCAGAAACGTTTTCCCAGTCGCCGCCTGCTGTGCAAGATACGCTGTTACTGCTACCAGAGAAGTTGAAGCCAGAGTTGCATATTGCATGGCCGAGAGATCCGTAGGTTGTGGTGCTGTAGCTAAAACTGCCACCAGGAATAGACCCCGGAACTCCACAGTCGACAACTGAAAAGAAATTTCCACTTGATTGGTTGGTTGGTTTGTTGTTTAACGCCGCACTCAGCAATATTACAGCTATATGACGGCGGTCTGTAGATAATCGAGTCTGGACCAGACAATCCAGTGATTGACATCATGAGCATCGAACCACGTAATTGGGAACGATGACATGTATCAACCAAGTCAGCGAGCCTGACCACCCGATCCCGTTAGTCGCCTTTTACGACAAGCAAAGTCGCCTTTTACGGCAAGTATGGGTTGCTGAAGACCTGTTCTAACCGGAAATCTTCACGGGTCAATTTCCACTTGAATGTCGAGTGTTATTTGGAGGGCAGGTTGGGGGTGGGGTGGGGTGGGGGGTGCAGTATTTCAGTCTTGCCATGGCCTGTCTGCTTTATGTGGGATGTTTATTGCACCAAGGAGACCTACGGACACCGGAATGGTGGTACCAACCTGGGATCATAAACAGTCAGGGAGAATCTGGGATTCATAACCACGACCTTCGAATTGTGGCTCATCAAACGGACGTGACCTTTCAGAACGATTGGTCCGTCTCTTGCCCCTACACGTTAATCACGTTCTTTTCTCATGCAAGAATAACAACTATTTTAGATCAACCATATTGTAAGAAGCATTTATGTCATTATATATGATAGCTACGCGATAAATCGCAAAGAACAATGAAGAACGAAACGTGGTTTATTTCACAATAAAACATAGTTCAATCATGACGTCATTTCTGTAGATTCGAATATGCGCTCGAAACTTAATGACGTTTATTGAACGACGTTATTTTTTAGAGGGGAGTGTCTGGCGAGTTGTTGCTGGGCAACCCAGATAAACGCGACTATAAACAACTCCCACTCGTCATTTATTTCTTAAATAAAGTGTATACCGCTTTATATAAATAATATGTATCTAGCTACCATTAATACCAGATGACGACATATGGTCAAAGAAGTTATACTTACTTTTGCACGAACCGTTCAACGTTTCCCACCGCCCTTCAGCCGAACACGTTACGTGCTTTGAAGAACCCGATAGATTGTAACCGCTGTTGCAAATGGCAGTACCGAGGGAGGTATAGGTCGTAGTGTTGTACACGAAAACACCGTTGTGTAATGGTTCAGGAGGGCCACAGTCGACCACTAAAATAGATTCAGTTAGACGATTTATAATGCATAAAAGTGTGTATGAGTGAGTGAGTATGGTTGTACGCCGCTTTTAGCAATATTCCAGCAATATCACGGCGGGGGTCACCAGAAATGGGCTTCACACATTGTACCCATGTCGGGAATCGAACCCGGGTCTTCGGCGTGACGAGCGAACGCTTTAACCACTAGGCTACCCGACCGACCCACATGAAAGTGAGTGAATCTATCAGGAAGTATAATGAATATGTATAATTAAAAAGAAAGAATGGTCAAGATACATTATAGCATGTTTGTGAATATTTATGAAGCGAGAAATAACCAAAAAGCTACTACTACTATATCAATTTTTATCGCTAATGCCACATATTTGGAAATACCCTCCACATGTCTACCATTCAACCTTTTGAAAGCTTACTCGGGTCTTGAATGTTGTAACCTTGATCAAACAACTTTTGAGCATGAATCGTATGACGCTCTATGAAATCTTGGTAGTTCTTACCTCAAAGTTGTGAATTTTGCTCGACAAAAAGGGAAAGTAGACTATTGGAAAGGTGAAGTCATCTGTTGTGTCATAGTTGGGACAGTTTTGTTTTCGATCTGAATCTTTATGCAAAGTTCTAAATATGATACCGATTTCTAGATCAGGTTGGTTATCAGTGGAATGGAATTGGCTATTTGACCTTTATTGCACAACATAAAATCATCGATATACCTGATGCTAAAATCCACTGTACGACGCCATTAATTCCATTGTATTGGTAATGACATGTATGCAATTGCCCTCTAGGTAAAAATCAATAAAAGTCAACTTCAAATTCAAACAGTGTAGCCGTCCCATGAATGTTTCTTGCGGCTATATAAAGAGAGGATTCATCACGAGTGTTTTTTAATATGGGAAATATCAACCGAGTCTTAGTTAATCGGTATTTGCCGAGCCTTTGGCGAGGCAAATACCGATTAACGGGACGAGGTTGATATTTCCCATATTAAAAAACACGAGTAATGAATTCTATTTATCATTTTCACATTTTTGCTTCCCAATTAAGGAATGATTACATTAAACATTAACATCAGCAACTTGTCGAAATCTTACGTATAGATCGTGCGTAGTGATACATGTTTTCCATAGCCGTGTAAACCAAAAAAAACCAACCTCTTAACTCCTTTATGGCATATTCCTTCGCTGAGAAAAAAAGTTCCTCGGATTATTTTAAACAAAATACTTGAACAGATTTTTGCAGAATAATTGAAATAATGTCTCCAACATCAAAGGTATCCATGTTGTTTGTATAACACCTACTCACGTTCACCGGCGAAAAAAGTCCCACTTCCGGTTATCTAATTTGCATATCTTATTTGCATACTTATGTCATTGGGGTATGACATACATGTTTTTATGTCATAAGCTTATGTCATGGATAAATGCTTTAGTTAAATGATAAATGTAGGTACTGGCCAAGTTGAAATTGATTATGCTTCAGTCTTACAATTGGACACATAGTATGTCAAACTGGTACCATTAATTGTATATACCTGAGTTTGAACATTTAATTTGTCAAATCGTTAAGACATATTAAGATAAATAATCGAATCTTGCGTGACGCATCAGTCAGCACTGTTCCAGATCACCCGAATCTTACTGAGTGTGCATTCGACAAATAGCGACGGAATGCATGGACAACATCCCATGCCGTCTGTGTGGGATGACAGCTGAATCAAAGAGTCTGATCCAAACTTTAACCAGCTCCTACAACCAGCAAGAGGTACTGTTGGCCTACTCTGACCGGGATGTCCACAGGATGCAAGCAACATCACAACGCAAGCACACATCGTTTTTAATTCGACGAAACCTAACGTTTTAACATCTACACGTACATGTACTGAATATATGTTTCTTGCCACGTATTCCACAACACGGTTTTTGCTGATGATCAGTTTGACGAAACCTAACGTTTTAACATCTACACGTACAAATACTGAATATATATTGCCACGTATTCCACAACACGGTGTTTGCTTATGATCAGTTTGACGAAACCTAACGTTTTAACATCTACACGTACAAATACTGAATATATATTACCACGTATTCCACAACACGGCGTTTGCTGATGATCAGTTTGACGAAACCTAACGTTTTAACATCTACACGTACAAATACTGAATATATATTACCACGTATTCCACAACACGGTGTTTGCTGATGATCAGTTTGACGAAACCTAACGTTTTAACATCTACACGTACATATACTGAATATATATTACCACGTATTCCACAACACGGTGTTTCCTGATGATAGGTTTGACGAAAATCGTTTGTTGAAATTGTAAATTTGTCAAGAGTTTACTCTGTTGAGAAAACAACGTGTAGATACAAGTGGAATACAAAATGCAGCCTACACTACCCTTTTACGGTACTGGAGGCAGGACGAATCTTTTCTACAATGCATTGAACCGTTTCCTTTTCTAATTTGTGTAGCCAAGAGTTCCTTGATTTCTGATACAATTTAGTAAGTCCATGAAATAAAGATAGGGTTAAGAGAACGTGACAAGTGTTATTCAAATTAGCAAAGATGTTGTTTTTAAATGTAACTTTATCATCTCTATACATGGCTCATCGTATAATTGCTCATCTATAAACGTATTTCAAATATCTTCCAAGAGGATTACGTTCTCAGATACAGTCAAGAGGATCATTTTTCCACAATACCTGGGTCGTATCCACAGAAGCAACAGAGCACGAAATCGATAACTGTTTTTCAGCGAATGCCGTCAGGTAACTGAATTGCTGAGTGCAACGTTCAACATCAGACAAACAAAGCTAAATGTTGATGTCACTGGTTGTGTTTGTTTCTTAAATTGAAAGTTGCAGCATAATCAAGATCCATGGCTGCTACCTCAACATAATCTCCTCCGAGGTCTACACACTTCTGCCAACGATGCTGGAGTGCCTGGATCCCACTGTTGAAGAAGGCTTCTTCCTGGTTGTGTACAAAGTTCACCACAGCAGAATTGTCGTAATCGTCATTTGCACAGTCCTTGCCAGACTGTTCTCTCAATAAATTTAGTCTGATTCCAAACGACTTAAATTATCACGAGAGAAGATGAACCCGGATCGTTTCTGATAAGGACTCAGAACCCAGCATTTCAGAACCTTTCAAATTGTCATGCCTACATTCCTCAGAATGTTCGCTAACTCTCTCGTGAGATACCCAAGGTGCTGTCTGTGTACCTTTCAAATTATCATTCCCACTTCATTCCTCAGAATGTTCGCTAACTCTCTCGTGAGATACCAACGGTACTGTCTGTGTACCTTTCAAATTGTCATGCCTACATTCCTCAGAATGTTCGCTAACTCTCTCGTGAGATACCCAAGGTACTGTCCGTGTACCTTTCAAATTGTCATGCCTACATTCCTCAGAATGTTCGCTAACTCTCTCGTGAGATACCCAAGGTACTGTCTGTGTACCTTTCAAATTGTCATGCCCACATTCCTCAGAATGTTCGCTAACTCTCTCGTGAGATACCCAAGGTGCTGTCTGTGTACCTTTCAAATTATCATTCCCACTTCATTCCTCAGAATGTTCGCTAACTCTCTCGTGAGATACCCAAGGTACTATCCGTGTACCTTTCAAATTGTCATGCCTACATTCCTCAGAATGTTCGCTAACTCTCTCGTGAGATACCCAAGGTACTGTCTGTGTACCTTTCAAATTGTCATGCCTACATTCCTCAGAATGTTCGCTAACTCTCTCGTGAGATACCCAAGGTGCTGTCTGTGTACCTTTCAAATTATCATTCCCACTTCATTCCTCAGAATGTTCGCTAACTCTCTCGTGAGATACCCAAGGTACTGTCCGTGTACCTTTCAAATTGTCATGCCTACATTCCTCAGAATGTTCGCTAACTCTCTCGTGAGATACCCAAGGTACTGTCTGTGTACCTTTCAAATTGTCATGCCCACATTCCTCAGAATGTTCGCTAACTCTCTCGTGAGATACCCAAGGTGCTGTCTGTGTACCTTTCAAATTATCATTCCCACTTCATTCCTCAGAATGTTCGCTAACTCTCTCGTGAGATACCCAAGGTACTGTCCGTGTACCTTTCAAATTGTCATGCCTACATTCCTCAGAATGTTCGCTAACTCTCTCGTGAGATACCCAAGGTACTGTCTGTGTACCTTTCAAATTGTCATGCCCACTTCATTCCTCAGAATGTTCGGTAACTCTCTCGTGAAATACCCAAGGTGCTGTCTGTGTACCTTTCAAATTGTCATGCCCTCTTTCTTCAGAATGTTCGCTAACTCTCTCGTGAAATACCCACGGTACTGTCTGTGTACTTTTCAAATTGTCATTCCCACTTCATTCCTCAGAATGTTCGCTAACTCTCTCGTGAGATACCCACGGTACTGTCTGTGTACCTTTCAAATTGTCATGCCCACTTCATTCCTCAGAATGTTCGCTAACTCTCTCGTGAGATACCCACGGTACTGTCTGTGTACCTTTCAAGTTGTCATGCCCTCTTTCCTCAGAATGTTCGCTAACTCTCTCGTGAGATACCCACGGTACTGTCTGTGTGACGTGTGGTGAGGCGTCGATCATATAACATCATATAAATTATTTTATCAGCATGATCCTTAGTGGCAATTTAAAGTCTTCCTGGTCATGGATCATCTTCGAGGCTCTCTCTTCCCATCTTGACTTCCGTTGCCCTTCTTTAAACAGTGGCAGAGGAAGGAGCTTCATCTCCTAAAGTTGACACCTTGTCTGCATGGATATCTGTTATTAGCCCTTTCAGTTGGAGATCATTGATAACAGCGCGGTAGCCAATTTGTTCAATTTATTTCAACAGAAAGTACCTAGTCACTTAATGCAAAATATACTGCCCGGTTGTGTATTTACTCGTAGTTCAGATGTAAACTTTAAAAATGAAAAGTATGATTATTAATAAATGCAAATTGTTAAGTGTGTGCGCTGTACATCCTTCGCAGTTTGCTTCAAAACTTTTCAGTCATCCCTCGTAAGTCTTACATAAACATTGTCATGCTATGGTGATCTCTACCGGGAACTCTTTTTGTCAGGAAAGCTGACACACCTTAAATATTTGATTGTCTCCTTCCTCTTTGTATGTACGCCTACTCCATGTGCGAACTGTTTTTTTATATACACAAACCATTTGAATGGATATACTTTTATTGTCGGGTGCATAAAAAAAAATTAAAAAAATATGGATCAGAATTGTATCTTTAAATGAACATATATTTTTATATATAATTTAAATCTAAACATTCATATCAATATGCGTTCCAAACTTATTCCTGTATAGGTCATGCATAAATCATATGAAAAGGTTATATTAGAATCCTTCTGAACTCTGGTAACATTTAACGTATGAGTGAGTGAGTGAGTGAGTGAGTGAGTGAGTGAGTTTGGTTTTACGCCACTTTTTGCAATATTCCAGCAATATCACGGAGGGGGACACCAGAAATGGTAACATATAAAAAGTAGAATATAAATACATTGTATAACATTGCAAATACATAAATATATTTTGAATGTATCAAGTCTACAATACTTGTATAATCAGTTTTACATAATTAGGACCTGCTGAAAGTGCAGTGTGAGGTAATTCTTCATCTGTGTCCGCTGAAGCGTTGTTGAGAGTGTGGTTCCGGACAAAAACTCCATGAGTGAGTGAGTTGGGTTTAATGCCGCTATTAACAGTATTCCAGATATATCGCGGCGTGTCAGCTTAATGTGGGAGGAAAGCCCGAGGTGATACAGGTCTCAGACGTTTACCACTTCGGTGAAAGCCACGAGCACGGGTATGGTGCTGACAAACCTAGACACATAATTGGGGAGAACCGGAATTCGAACCCACAATCATAGGTTTCTGGCGTGCCCAAGGGACGCAACTCTGCACAGCGAATCGCGGCGCCTTAGACGACTGGGCCACCCGTGCCCCCCAAAACTCCATGAGTGATACGCATACCTGTACATGATCATGAACACGCTTCTTAGTGCACGCAGATCTGTCTACGGTTGGTTTTTCAGGCGAAATATATATTTATTTAAGATGACTGGCTGACCTTATCACTGAGATGTTATAAATTCAGCACTTTGGATTTGCCATGTTGTATTGTGTGTGAGGTGACATGGGGGTTTAACGTCGCGTCCAAGATTATTGCACTTAGATAGCGACGTGCATGTACGTGTGTGACTGCTTGTACTGGTCCGGACTGATGCCGATTTATAGTGCTAGCTCACTGAGATACCATTCCGCAGTTTAACATAAATACCCCACTCAGACACAGACTCCGAGCCGACCAGTCCTTGTTTTAGCCCCTTAATGCCGAGCGCCAGTCAGGGTAACAACAAGTACCATCTTTTAACGTCTTTTGGTTTGACGCGGCCGTGGATCTATCTCCGGGCGAACGCTCTACAAATAGACCACGAAGGCGGTCTTGTATTGTGTGTCTATGTTAATGGTGACATGTATATACTCTATGCTTTTTTCCTCTAAACAAAACTTACATCTTCTTAAATGAATTAATTAAGTATTGTCACCGTGGATCACTTTTTCTCATGTCACGGTCCAGTGCCGCTATGTCCCTCGACTTTATTTTCCGGCACCGCTCGGTAATCTCCGAGTAGCATACCGAGATATGACGAAACAACTACACGCCCAAACTTCACCGTTAACGTTTGGGTGAGTGAATATGGTTTTACGCCGCTTTTAGCAATATTCCAGCAATATCACGGCGGGGGACACCAGAAATTGGCTTCACACATTGTACTCATGTCGAGAATCGAACCCGGGTTTTCGGCGTGACGATCGAAAGCTTTAACCACTAGGTTATAATTACCCGAATTACCCCCGTTAATGTTTGATTAACTTTGTTTCTCTTTGTAAACTTCCAAACACACACATGTCCGTTTTTCAAATCTTGCAGAAATCACAGAGTGAAACATCTTAAAAACCTCATATGCGTTTCTTTTTGTAGGGAAAACATTTTTTTTTTAACGGAAAGATCGATCTCTTAAAAAACTGAACTTTGTAACAAACTCACCAATTAAAGGTGATGATGCCTCCCCGGCTAGACACGCATACTCATTGGCTGCATATACACACCGCGTGCCTGGAGGGCAGTCTGCACATGCGTCAACACCATCAACCTTAAAGGAAGAATTCATTAATTATCTATTGGGTTTCAACCAAAGGTAGGGTTTTACTCCGTGGGCACGCCAGAAACCTATGATTGTGGGATCGAATCCCGGTTCGACCCGATTATGTTTCTAGGTTTGTCAGCACCATACCCGTGCTCGTGGGTTTCACCGAAGTGGTCAACGTCTGAGACCTGCATCACTTCGGGCTTTCCTCCCCCATAAAGCTTACACGCCGTGATATAACTGTAATACTGTTAAAAGCGGCGTTAAACCCAACTCACTCACTCACAGTACTAGATCAAAACTGCCCCGTAACCACTTACGAACGAAACCAGAGAATGATCGCCCAGTAGCAAATCGCCTCGTAAACGGTCTAACGAAGCCTGAGGGTGAAGACTCATGACTTTGGTTTTATACGGGAGCGCGGACGTTGGAGAGAACAACCTCTCATGGTCAGCCGGGGCAAAGCAATCACCTGGGGGAGCTATAACAAGTGCGTTTGTTAACATAGGAAAACTGGGATAGCAAACTAACTACTATACCCATATGAAGGATGCGTGTACCAAAGTTAAGCGCTGAACATAACTATCCAATGGTACTACTGACGATTTATGACCAGTTATGTACAATTATTGAGGTGGCAAAATGATTACAAATACATGAGAAATATCAAGAAAGTACCAGAAAATCGCGCTACAATGTGGTGAGGTGAAATGGGGTTTAACGTCGCGTCCAAGATTATTGCACTTACATAGCGACGTGCATGTACGTGTGTGTGTTTGTGTGGCTGCTTGTACTAGTCCGGACTGATGCCGATTTATAGTGCTAGCTCACTGAGATATCATGCCGCAGTTTAACATGAATACCCAACTCAGACACAGTATACTGACTCCGAGCCGACCAGTCCTTGTTTTAGCCCCTTAATGCCGAGCGCCAGACGGGGGTAACAACTAGAACCATCTTTTAACGTCTTTTGGTATGACGCGGCGGGGATCGAACCCGAACCTTCCGCTCTCCGGGCGGACGCTCTACCACTAGACCACGGAGGCGGTGCGCTACAATGTGAAAATTATTGTCACATATATGAAATAACATATATCAAATCAATACATGGTACAAGTTTGCCATTAAATCACAAGATAATAGTGAAGTTACCATTTAAGGTCGCATCGGCATTATTTTAGCGGCAGCAAGAGAATTAATATAGGGGTCAACTAATTCTTTAATTCTTTAACAAGGAAAGCAAAGCAGTACTTGAAAATCAAATAGTACGTAAAAGTATGTAAAACATGTGTTTAAATATATGTATTAGGAACCGCTAGATATAAGTAATTATTCATAAAACCAAAATAGTATGTAGTGTAATCTCGTAATGATTTTGAAAAATAATTCGAGGTATCCGTCAAGGTTTCAGTTTCTCCTTTCAGAGCAACAGTCTACCCCCCACCCCCTCCCTCCCAACCACATACACATACACCCACCACCCCCAAGTATTAAATGTTTGTGTCATGACATCATGGTATTGTGTTGAGCGAATATCAGACAGGTTCATTGAATTTCAAAATTTAAAGATTTTAAAATGGTATAACAATTTACGCATAGAGATAGATGTCAGTCAGATAAACATCCATTGAACCTGGATCTCATTTGAATAAAGTCACACGTGACAACTTTCATTTAATAAGGAGCGTGTAAGAATCTGCAGTTGTTATTGTGTAGTGACTTGTTTATGTTTTAAGATGTATTAAGCGTAATATGCATTTGTGCACATATTGATACAATTCACATCTACTTAAACCCGTATAGATCCGGGGTAGAATAGGTCTTCAGCAACCCATGCTTGCGTAAAAGGCGATTATGCTTGTCGTAAGAGACGACTAACGGGATCGGAGGATCAGGCTCGCTGACTTGGTGGATGCATGTCATCGTATCCCAATTACGTAGGTCGATGCTCATGATGTCAATCACTGGATTGCCTGGTCAAGACTCGATTATTTACAGACCACCGTCATATAGCTGGAATATTGCTGAGTGCGGCGTTAAACAACAAACAAACAAACAAACACACACACTTACTTTACAGTTCTTCTCAAGGAGGTATTTCACCTGTGATGACGCAGCATCGTAGCCATGATCAAATGTGTTCAGATCACAAAACCCATTTTTGAAATCATAATTCAGCGATATGCATTTTGCGTCTCGGCGACATGCAGTCTCGCACTGGATCACATTTTTCACTATCATCCTCTGAGATGGAAACAGAACTGGTTCAATAGACGGTTTCAATAACAGTCTGCTTCCACACCGATAGCAGCAACAGAAAGGGACGACTGTTGTAAAAATCCAGAAAACGAGATCGGCACCGATACGCATCCTAGTCCTGAGAGCTGAATACGCTGAATACGTCTACACTCCATCTACACTCTTAATTATACGAACAACTGACGCAGGGCAAGTTCGCTGAACAAATAAACGTCAGTGTCTGTATATTTCTTTCACAGTATTGAACCGGTACGCTGAGTGTATATCTGCTGTTTCACAAAAACTATTGATTAAATTTATCAATTTATTTCCTACTCTTGAACACACTCAAAGAAAACCCGAAACAGTTAAACAAATACTTGTATGTCGACATCTGTAAGATTGTTAAGAATGCTGTCGTTGCCGTGGTTTCTGTAACATTTTCAGCATAAGAAGCTGACTCATTATTTGATCATTCATTATAGCCGAGGTGTTCTAGTGATCAGCGTGAGATATATAGCATTGGGACTAGTTATGAAGGATACATACGGGTGATGGAGTGAGTTTGGTTTCAATAGGAAATGAGTTCAAACACGCGTTCTTGTCAGATGAAGAGAAAGAGAAAAGGGGTTTCTGGAAGTTGAACTACATGACAAATATTTGAATGAGTTGGGCTTGCGCCACGTTTAGTATTATTCCAACAATGTTACGGCAGGGGGCATCAGACTTCTCACTTATGTGGGGAATCGAACCCGGACATTCGGCGTGACGAGTGAACGCTTAAACTGCTAGGCCACCCCGCCGCCGGAATCGGGTTTCGGCAGATAATCATGACTTGTTCTTGTCTGTTGTTGGTTTTATATTTATAGGGGATAGTAGGAATAATCAAGACATATCTTCTGATCTATATGGTATTGGCAAAAGGAAATGATATGATCATGTCTAGTGGGAAGTAGACGATCAGATGTATTGCGTTCCAATGGTTGGTGTGATGAGATGGTGACGTACTAGGTCGTTAAAGGGGTAGGGGGTTAATTTCGACATTTGTACTTTGCAGCCAACGTCACATATGCCGGGTCAATCCAACTCTGTTGATCAGACATGCACGAATGCTTCTGATGAGTCGGGGGCGGTCGGGTAGCCTAGTGGTTAAAGCGTTCGCTCGTCACGCCGAAGACCCGGGTTCGATTCCTGACATGGGTACAATGTGTGAAGCCCATTTCTGGTGTCCCTGTCGTGATATTGCTGGAATATTGCTAAAAGCGACGTAAAACCATTCTCACTCACTCACTCACTCACTCATGACTTTCCTCCGTGGTCTAGTGGATAGATCGGAAGACCGGTGGTTCGATCCCTGGCGGCATCACACCAAAAGATGTTAAAAGATGCTACTTGCTGTTAAAACAAGGACTGGTCGGCTCGGAGTCGGAGTACGTTATTCCGGCTGTATCGTGAGCGTACCCACACAGCCCATACACCCTAACCCAACCCATCTCCACACACCACAGAATATGTTTATTTGTTTGTTTGTTGTTTAACGACACACCCTCAGCAATATTACAGCTGTATGACGGCGATCTGTAAACATTCGAGTCTGGGCGACACAATCCAATATCATGTACATCGATCAACGCAATTGACCTGCATCAACCAAGTCAGCGAGCCTGACCACCCGATCCCGTAAGTTGCCTTTTACGACAAGCATAGTCACCTTTTACGGCAAGTATGGGTTGCTGAAGACCTATTCTACCCCGAATATTCACGGGTCCTTCGCAATCGGGACAAGAGCCTGACCACCCGATCCCGTCTGTCGCCTTTTACGGCTAGCATGGGTTGCTGAAGACATATTCTACCCCAGATCTTCACGGGTGCACATAATATTGTACGACTTGAACGAATATGCAGTATTAAACACGTGCCCATTGCAGTCCTGATCATAACGCAAAGGAACACACAAGCACATGGGACCTCATTGTCGATGCTATTCCACGTACTACCATATCGAATTGCTTTGTTCGGCGATGACGTCGTCAAGTGTATTTGAATTACCTTCCTTTTTTGAAACAGTATCGTAGGATACTAATTCACCTGCATACGTTTGCGCATGTGAATTGTCTGGAGCTGGGAGACCTATTCCTTTACGGAATCCCCACTGCTGTACGTGTATACTTGATGTGTTATTGTTTACCGTTGAGGCCCATTACACA